GGATGCCATGAATGCATATCTTTTTACTGTGTTCTTTTCTGTAATAAAACTTAACTCTGAGTATAATTTGCTATTGAATCTTTTAAGTCTTTCTTGTCATTCACTGAATGCAATGGTACTATATTTCAACAATTGGAAATTCAGAACAAATGACACAACTGGGTGAAAAACTTAAGGAATGCCCCAAACTCAGTAATTGATACATTAAATGAAAATATTAAAATTAATGTAAAAATACATAGTATACAAAATACCAAACATTTCAATAAAGCTAAGATTGACCCTTGCTTGTAATATCCTGGCTTATTTGCCTCACCCTACTTCTTGCTTTGGAGAAGAGATACACAGGAGCTTTTTAGTTGCCAAAGCTAAGAATGGCATCTTTAATAATGATGTGAAAGTTTGCTGAATAATTGCTGCACTTCACTAACTTTCTCTTCATCTCAATTAGTTTGTGCTTTCTAATTAATCTCTACCGATGTATCAGCTGTTTATGTGGTCACCCCTTTTAGAGATCTGTACTTTCCAGAGCCCTGGAGATCAAGCGAGAATCTCCCCTCCCCCACCCCATAGACCCTCTGTATCTAAAATAATTCTTAACAGGGTCTTTCACTGGGTAGATAATTCCTAAAGGTCAAGATAATTTAGCTTAGAATGGAAAGTTATTCAAAGAGCTTTAGAGGCTTCTTATAAACTTTATTTCTACATTTTTACTTATTTATCCATTTTCAGGAAGAGAGCCACACAGCTACATTTTCTACTATGTACCAAGGTCAGAGCTTGACACTTTCTATAAATGATCACAAAATTTTATAACAATTGTTTGAAGATTGATGCTGTAGTCCCTATTTCATAGAGAAGGAAAAGTAACCTCAAGATGGTAATAGGTCATTCTCAAGATCACTGAGAAATAAGAGGTAAATTTGTGGTTCCCACTTCAGTTGTCTGACTCTAAGGATGACAAAAAGTAGCTGCAGCCACCTTTGACTCTTTAGCATCTATGCATCCACATTCCATCACTCTTATTAGTAGACCTATGTACCTTGGGGAGACATTTTGCTCTAATATCAAAGCATGAAAGATGGAGTCAACTTTTGATACTTGGCTATTATTTAAGGAGATGTCCAAGACTTGCTATTTCTTGTTTTTCTTCCTTTCTCCCACCCCACAGATATACATCAATCATGGAACCAAAGTTATTACCCTCAGGGTCCCACTGGTGGGCTTTAGAGTGTTATAGAATACCTGAGTATTATTTGTCCATATCAGTTTTTGTGTATATATTCATTTTTCTAGAGAAAGAGGTTTATAGCCTTTTTTAGATTTTAGAGGGTCTCTAAGTCAAATGTATGATCTATAGTTGTCCCTCCTTAGCTACAGTTTTGTTTTCTATGGTTTCAGTTACCTAGTCAATCATGATCTGAAAATATTAAATGGAAAATTCCAGAAAAAAACAATTCATAAGTTTTTAACAACATGTTATTCTGGCATGATGAAATCTCAGGCCATCTCATTCACCCTGGCTGGGAAGTAAACGACCCCTTTGTCCAGAGTATTCAGATTGTATACACTACCTAATGTAGCCCATTCTTCACTTACAGCTGCCTCTGTTGTCATATCAACCATCAGAGTGTCACAGTGCTTATGTTCAAGTAACCCTAGTTTTATTTATTAATGGTCCCAAAGTAAAAGAGTAGTGATATTGGTCATTTAATTTTAGTTTTTTGTTGTTGTTTTTTTTTTTGGTACTGGGGATTGAACTCGGGTCCTTATGCTTGCAAGGTAAGTGACAGAACCATTGAGCTAAATCCCCGGCGATATTGGTCATTTAAATAGGCCAAAGAGAAGTTGTAATGTTCTTCTTTTATCTGAAAAGGTGAAAGTATGTGACTTAATAACAAAAGGAAAAACTTTATGTTGAGTTGCTAAGATCTATGGTAAGAACAAGTAGGGAAAACAATATACATAAGGTTCAGTAGTGTCTGTGGTTTCAACCATTTACTAGGGGTCTTGGATCACTTTCCCCTTGGATAAAAGGAGACTACTATATTTAACGATAGAGTACTATGTAATACTCTGGTTACAAAACCAGTCAAAGGCTTGGATGCTTGTCTGAAAGGTCACAGGAATGAATTTATTTACCACAACGAACCTTCCTGGAATATGGTGTGATGTCCTACCTACATGGAAACACTAAGGTATATGAGGTGTAATTGAGAATATGGTGTATGTTTACATTTTTTTTTTTTTTTTTGGTACCAGGGATTGACCTGCGAGGTCCTGAGTTCAATCCCTGGTACAAAAAAAAAAAAACAATAAAGCTTTATTAGAGCAAAAGACATATGGGCATCCATACTGCTTAAAATACTCCCCCTCACTTTGAAAGCACTCATTTCATTGTTCTCACCACTTTCGGAAGTAGTTCTGGAAATCTTTCAGTTGTGCTCTAATGGCTGCCTTGATGTCTTGAATTTATTCAAAATGTTTACCTTTCATTGTCATTTTGACTTTGAGGAGGAGCCAGAAGTCACATGGTGCCGGATCCAGAGTAAGGTGAATGAGGACACACAGTAATGTTTTAATAAGCCTGCCTTTTCATCGGATGGCATTCAGCAGCAGCATTTGCGATACTTTTGATTATATCTTGTGAAAATACTCATGAAAGAGGACTTCCAGAAATGCTTTAAAAAGAGGCAAATATGATGGGATAAGTGTGTGTGGGAGTATTGAAGGGTAATTGATGGCAATGTATCTTTTTCTGGAATAGATTTTCATTCACTGTATATTTTATGATCATACCTCTTACAGCAGGAAGGAACAAGCCTACCTCAAAGAGGAATTTCCTTTAAACTAAAATTGTGATATAATTACAGCCATCAATTATATGCATCCTTACCAGATGTTCATCCAAACTCAACATGAAAACTTTCAACAATCAGGAAATGCTCATTAACTACCTTAGTCTTGGGTAATCGTATATGGCTTCATTTGTTTTAGTTTTTTAAGTTTCAGTTTATATATGATTTATATACATTAAAAATAATTAAAATGTGAAAGAAACAAGGGCAAGATAAAACCATGAAAGCATAAAGGATGATGTCATGTGGGCATGGCAATTAGGGAATTCCAGGAAACCTCAAGTAAGGAGAGATTCCTGAATTTGAGTAGAGGTGGTAATCCTGAGACCCTTGGAAGCAAAGGAAAAAAAGAAATACGAGGGATTCCCTGACTCTTTTGATCACAGGAATGAACTTATTTGCTGCAGTGAATCTTTCTGGAACATGAACTTATAGGAGAAAAGCATAGTTTTCAAGGGAGGTCAATATTCTTTTGTGTTCTAGAAGGAGTTCTTGTAAAGCTTTTATATTATGTACACTTAAAGGGATGTAATGGACAGTGGATTTTTGCCAAATGTTTTACTAGAAATGTAAAGACACTTCATGTAATAATCCATAATGGAAACTAGACACTAGTTTTTAAAATAATAATGGATAAATAGTACTTAATTGTGTCAACAAGTCAATACCTAGTTGGGTTTTCCTAAATGAAAGAGCAGAGCATACTTAATGGAAGAAGTTTTTTTTTTAATATATATATTTATTGGTACATTTTAGGTACAAAATACATTTACATTCATCATTGGGTGTTTGTAACAGAACATGATGCATCTTAGTTTTTATTTTTACTTCCATTACCTGTGCACCCTTCATCCCCTCTACCCTTCCCTATCTACACAGAGTTTGATTCCATTTTTTTTCTCATAATTTTTTTCTTTCCCTTCTTCCCTTTCCCCTTTCCCCTCCACCATCCCCAAACCCTTGGATCTTTTCCTATTTCAAATTATCAATTATTCATTTTCATCATTTTCATCCTTATTTACACTTTCAATTTCTCACCCTAGAGAAATTATTCAGTATTTACACATGTGCATCCTATTTATTTCACTTAAGAGTATGGCCTCAATATGCATCCATTTAGCTATAAATGTCTCTAGTTTCTCATTCTTTATGGCTGAGTAGTACTCCATTTTATATAAAAAAACAACATCTTCTTTACCCAGTTTCCAGTCGATGGGCACTTGGGCTGTTTCCAAGCTTTAGCTATTACAAATGGGGCCACTATAAACATAGGTGCACATATATTTCTGTGGTGTGATTCTTTTAATTCTTTGGGGAAGATTCACAGCAGGGGAATGTCTGGGTCAAATGGGACCAGTAGTCCTAGTTCTTTGAAGTATCTCCATACGGATTTCCACAGTGGTTGCACCAATCTACATTCCCACCAACAATGGAGAAGGGTTCCTTTCTCTCCACACCCCCACCAGCATTTGTTATTGGTTGATTTCTTGATAGCAGCCATTCTTTCTGGGGTGAGGTGGAATCTCAGTGTTGTTTTCATCTGCATCTCTCAAAAGACCAGTGATGTCGAACATTTTTTCATATATTTATTTGCTGTTTTTACTTCTTTGTCTGAGAAATGTCTGTTCATTTTGGATGCCCATTTTTGAATTGGGTCTTTGAATTTGGGGAGTATGATTTTTTCAGTTCTTTATATATTCTCTATAGTAGATCTTTGTCTAAGGTACAGCTGCTAAAAATTTCTTCCCACATTGTAGGTTGTCTCTTAGCTCTGTTGGTAGTTTCTCTTGCAGTGCAGAAGCTTTTTAATAAGATGAGATCCCAGTTGTTGATTCTTTGTGCTAGCTCCCGTGCTACTGAAGATTTGTTCATAAAGTCTTTTCCTATGCCAATGTCTTCAAGAGTTCTACCTAACTTATCTTCCAGCAAGTTTAGTGTTTCTAGCTTAATATTTAGATCTTTAATCCACTTTGATCTTAGTTTAGTGCATGTTGATAGGTATGGGTCTAGTTTTAATCTTTGGCAGGTTGAAATCCAGTTTTTCCAACACCATTTATTAAATAGGCTATCTTTCCTTCAATGAGGGTGGTTGGCATGGAAAAAGTTTTTTAAAGAAGTGAATGTAATTTTTCCTGTCCCCAGGAAGAGAGTGGGTTTCAATGAAAGCCTTCCTAGTCACTTTTATTGAAAGAAGAAGGAAATTAACATGAATGAGTCTTTCTCCCAGGTTACCCTAAATCTGTGACTTTCCTCATAGACCACTGTGGGCTAGACCTCGGGCGAAGTTTCAGAGATGTCATGGTTGAACTGCAGCTCTGGATACCATGGTAGAAGTGGGGATTCTGGAGGACCCTTCAATGTTGCTCAATATCCAAATGCTGGGGGATAGAGGACCTCTTTAGATTTAGGATCTTGTCTATGGCCATACCACCCTAAATGTCCCCAATCTCATCAGATTAAAGATCTCTTCTTTCTTGTTTTGATCCTTGTCTTTTGCTCAGAAGATTGAATTTTAAAATTTTTTATTAGTACATAATGATTACAGTCATTGTGAGGAGTTGGACCATGCACATAACACACCTTAGTTCTTTTTACTTTCTGTTTCCCCTCCCTCCATCTCTTGGTCCTCTTCCTGTTGACAAAAGATCTATCTCTCTGTTTCTTATTATCCATCATTTATTTTGCTTTTTATTTATAATTTAGGTTTCTCATATAAGAGAAACCATGTGATATTTAAGCTTGTGTGTCAGATTTATTTTTCTCAAAGTGCAACCATTTTCCCACAATTAACTCAAATTTATCCTTCTCTATAAAAGATTGATATTTTTGTCAAATGGGGTATTAAAATTTTTTTCTGGAGGTTTTCAAATGATATCTAAATCTATCCAAGTGTGAATATATCAGAAGACATGATTTCATATGCAAATAAAATTTAGAAGTAGACTCATTTGTTCATTGTAACATAAATGGTTTCTTAAAATTCCATAAACAGGATGCCAAATTAATAATATTCAATGATAAATTTTTAAGTAAACTCCTTGGAACATAGCTAGCCACATTATAATCAGAGGCTTGATGGGTGACCCTAGAATTAGAATATAGGTGGGTAGATCAGCTTCCTGGTAGTATTGTTAATTATTAATTTTATTTTCTAATAGATATGTAGCAGTGAATTAAAATTTGAGATCCTTGCTGCAGTAATTTGAATTTTAAGTGTCTCCCAAACCCCGTGGGTAAAGACTGGCTCACAGGGTGGTGCTGCTGGGATGTGGTGGAGGCTTGAGGAGACTGGGCCTAGTGGCATTCCTCAGGCCATGGGGAAGGGAACTGCAGGACCCTTACCTCTTCCTCCCTCTCTCTTTTGATTCTCAACCATAAGGTGAGTGGTTTTGACTGCCATGCACTCCTGGCCATGATGTGCTGCCTTGGCACAGGCCCAAAAGCAATGAAGATGACTGATCATGTAACAAAACTCCAAAACCATGAAACAAAATAAATCTGAGTTGGTTATCTCAGGTATAGTAACAGAAAGTGGACTTGCCCTTAGTGTGTCACTAAGTGATCTTTGCAGTGCAGGTGTTTTGTTTCATCAACTGAAGAGATCGATAACACAGTTGAAGATATAATGGTTTTTGAGAGTACCCTCTCCCCACCTTAATGAATGCTTTTCCACTTCTATATTGAGCTGAGAGCAGGCAGGGCCAAGTCTTTCCTTAAAAACATAGCTTGGATCTGTTCAAGAGCCTAGATACATAATCAATTGACAACTTAAAGTCTTGTACCATCATAAAACAGGAGTAAAAACTGTTGAGTGGCAGCAGCCACCAAAAAATATCAACTGCAGAAGGAACAAGAACAGAAAACTGTGCTGAGCTGTAGAGAAACTTGCCCTGAGTCAGACTGTACAAGGATAGAATTGGGAGGGGAGGCAGAGCTAGTGGTGTGATATAGGGCGAAGAGAGAAGCATTTACTTATTCATTTGCTTACCCATTCATTCATCATATATACCATGAGAATTATCTGTCCACCTGTGATTCTTCTGGAGAGTGGGCTTTCAGATCACATATGAACTACTCCCGGTGCTCAGAGAAAATACATGAAATTAAGATCTGAGTTAAGCAGAAAAGGGAATGGAACAGTATATTGGGTCAAAATTATGGGGAAATTTGAGTGCTAGACTTGTAGGCCATGAAGGGGGAGGGAAACCAAATTTTAAATAAGAGAGTGACATAGATGGAGTTGTGCAAAGATCTAGATGAGAACAATGTTGTGGAGCTAATTTGTAGGGAAATAAGGCTATGGGAATTGTTGAAGTAAAATGGTATTTATAGCTGGAACTAGAAGTAGGGATGGAATTGCTAAAGGAAAGAAGGCAGGATGTGAAGAGGCTAGACTTGGGAAGCACTAATATATGAGTCTAGAGGAGACAAGCCAGATGAGTCCTCAGGAGGGTGCAGGGATGGAAGTCAGTAAAAGAGGAAGTTTCCAGAATATGGAAGCTGGTTAGTTAATAGTGATTCTGCGTAAACAAGAAATACAGTTTCTTGTATTTACCACAAGAAATGGCTATTTACCATAAGCTAGATGCATGAAGATACTTCATGACTTTCCAGAAAGCAGATGGATGAGGATATAAATGGAGAATAAGAAGAAGAAATAGTACATATATTCTAGTCTTTCAAGAATTAAACCATAAAATGAAGCCATCTGAGAGAACATCAAATAATTCATTAGAATTTTGTTTTTAAGACAAGGTCTCACTATGCAGTTTGGGTTGGCCTTAAACTCACTCTGTAGCCCAGGCTGGCCTCAGACTCATAGTGATCCTTCTTCCTCAGCCTCCTGAAATTATATCTGCTGAAATAACATGTGTGTGCCACCACACCTGGGTTTCTTTAGAAATTTTTTGGCTGAAAAACCAACCCAAAGTTTATATAACTGAGGAAGCAACGGGGATAGCTAGGTTTCAGGACTGGATAAATCCAAGGCTCACCTCATACCATTAGTACCTCTTGGCTAGACTCTGTGTCCACTTTTATGGTGACTTTGTTTCTAGGTTTCTATATGGTGACAAGATAGTTGTAGTAGCTTCAAAACTACATCTTTTCCAATTTAAATCCAGTTATATCAAAAGAGAAGATTTTACCTAGCTCTCTTAGTAAAGCCTGGACTTAGTTTTGGTTTGGCTTGGATTGGCTTGACTAGAGTTAAAGGTCCATTCCTGCTTGGGATGGAGCTCACTGATGGATCTAAACCTAGAGATGGAGTTCAAAGAAAACACATAGACTAAGATGGGAAGGGGCTTTGTTCTTTGGAGGAAAATCAGAGAGTATTGCCAATAGATATGGAGAATGGGTCCTGGGTGGCAAAATCCAGGGTCCAAACTCCAATTTGAAAGAAGCCAACTGATGGATAGACTCTGGAGTAGAAGGGAGAGAAAGTAATTCAGATTCATGGATGGAATCAAATTTGAAGGAAGGATGCATCCTCATTTCTGAGATGGGAGAGGAGAAGGTAATAAAAGATGATACATATGCAATTTGACATGGAGGTGGGGCATATGTTAAATAGCTCTAATTTTCAAGTAAAAATATTGGGGCACATATAATTTTATTTTTTTAATTAAGTTAAATCTATTGCACTAATTGTATTATAGCAAATACATGGAAACAAATAGAAGCTAAAAATAAAACCACAGCTAGCATATGAAATGCCTTCATTCTTCACATTGTGGACATAATCTTTACAGAGCTAAGTGTGAATTTGTAAACTTTATATATATTCTTCAAAAGATTTTTAATTACTGTTTCTTAGAGTATATGTATCATAATTTGTAATTCTACTAGAAAAGACATTTAGAGTGCTTCCATTTTTAAAATTAGAAATAATGCTACAATTACTATAGACTTAACTGTGCATTTTTCTTTGAGGTATTTCTATAGCATAAGTTCCCAGGGATGAGGTAATTCTGAGAAAAGGAAGAAATATTTTTGTATCTCCTAATGATGTCTCATGAGTTATTTATGCACAATCATTAATGTCCCAGCCATGAAATTATCAGTCTCATCATGTGCCAAACATTTTAGACATTTTATTCCATTAATATCTTCAAGATAACAACTAACATGACAAGTTGAGCACTCAAAGCCAAGATAAGTCTATCAATTTGGCTATGTTAATGTATTTGATTTTTCAACAACCCTGAACAGGAAATTTGATTCTTAATTTTACTGATAGGGAAATCAAGATATGAAGAGATTAAGTAAACTGTACAAGGTCACACAGTTGAAAAGTGGTAGAACTGGTATTTCAACCACAGTGATCTGAATCTAGAGCCTGGGGAATCAATCACTAGGCTATAATGTGTGATTAAGATATACAGTGAATGTTTAAATTTTTAGAAATTAATTGCAGTAAAACAAACATTGCCACTAATTCCCTCAAAATACTGCCACTTACTTTAAACTTATTCCATCATTTTTGCCACTTTCTGAAGCATGTCTAGAACTTCTCTTTTGCAAGTGTCTTTCCGAGAGGTGTGATAAAAATATTGGTGAATGCTACTTCCAAGTGCCATCAAATGGAAAGGCACTCTAGGAGAAATATTATCATGTGTCTTCAACCACCCTTTTCACCAGTCTTGGCATCTTGAGACTTCTGGCTCTTCCCCAAAGTCAACATGACCATGAGAGGTAAGTGTTTTGAATTCAGAACACTGAGGCAGCCATGATAGTGAAACTAAAGACACTCAGGAAAAAAGGTCCAGAACTGGTTCAGAAAGTGGCACTAGTGATGTGATAAGTGTTTTCAATCTAAGGCAAGTATTTTGAGGGGGATTAATGGCAATGTGTCTTTTACTGTAATTAATTTTTTAAAAATTTAAACATTCCTCATATTTTTTCAATTACACAAGATATATCATCCTGTGATAATTTTGACTGACATTTACCCAGTTATTGGTAATGATTTATATACATTAATATGAGAATTTCATCATATCCTTTTGGGAAGATTTTTTTTGTAGTTCTGCTACAGGGTAGGGATAATAGAGGGATGCTTCTTATGGATTTGGATGCTTCACATGGTCTAAAGGGGAAAATTTATTTACTTATTATTTAGAATGTATTTTAACCCCTTACCAGCATGTAGAGTTTATAAACTAAGAATGACATTGCTAAGTATTAAAAATAAATGCAGCAGTATCATACACCCAGAATACCCCTGGCATTTGTTTTGTTTTATGTTTGCCTTTGCTCTGATGATTCTATAATTTAATTCACCCCTGCTGGTTTCCATACCTTTTGGTTAACATACCTTTTGGGTTTGCTTGAACATCTTAAATGTGGGTATTGCTTTGATGTTACAAAATTCAGCCAACTCCTGGGAAAGAAAGAAATGTCATGACATCACAGTTGCGATGTGCTATGTACCAAACACACTGCTTCGTGACTTCTCAGGACATGTGTCTTAAAACTCATGGGCATCTGACACTTTAGAGACTCTTCTTCCAGAGAGTGTGTGATCATATGTGGTAGGCTCTCGAAGCCTCCAGGAATGTCATAGTGGACAATGACCATCCCAGAGTCTAGGAGAGGGATGAAAAATAGAGACCAAAACAGCATGCAACCTCAGACTAAATGGGCTCTATTTAGAGACCTTGTGAAAGATGCAGAGGAGCCCCAAGGGGAATCTAATATGGAATGAAGCTCCTGCAAAATAGGAAAGAGTAAACATATCCTTTTAGATCACATTAAGGCTTGAGATTTATGAAATGTGAAGAAAACTACTGGGAATGTTTAAATTTAAAAAATTATTATAATAAAAATCAGATTGCCATTAATCTTCAAAATATTCCCCTTCACTTTGGACACACTTATCCCATCATTCTTGCTCCTTCCTGAAGCAGTTCTGGAAGTCTTCTTTCATGAGTGGCTTTAGTTGTACTGTCATGGCTACCTCGATGTCCTGAATTTACTCAGAGTGTTTCTTTTATGGTAATTTTGACTTTGGGGGAAAAGCCAGAGTCACATGGTGCGGGATCCTGTAAGTAAGGTGGTTGAGGACACAATGGAATGTCTTTATAGCCTGTCTTTCTGTTGGATGACAGTTGGCAGTAGCATTCACACTATTTTTGATCATACCTCATAAAGACATGGATAAAAGAGGACTTCCAGAACTGCTCCAGAAAGTGGCAGGAATGATAGGATGTGTGTTCAAAGGGAGGGGCAGTATTTTGGAGGGAATTAATGGCAATGTGTCTTTTACTACGATAAATTTTTAAAAATTTAACATTCATTGTATATTTTGGTCTCTTATTTAAGAAAGGCTAACATAATTCTTTCTTTTAAGCCCTACAGTCATTCCAATGCTCATCTTTGTAAAAATTTTGGAATCTAAAGGCATGAAAATAGGCCAGGATTCAATAGATTAATTCATTCCAAACTGCTTCCAAATGGCAATTTTTGTTTTTCTTGTTCAGAAGTCAAAAGAAAATTAGTCATGCACAAGATCAGCAGAAATGGATGTCTCTCTTTCATATATCCATTGTTTTATTGGCATTGAATCTCTTTCCTTACCTACAACAACATGCACACATACACACAAACAGTAAATTATAATTTACATAACCAAAGTAGTGACAATTAATAAATATATTACTAATAGAAAAACGTGCATTTTGCTTCACCAAAGCCAAAGAACTATAATTAAAAAAGCATGACAATAACATGTGTTGGCAAAGAGTGGAGAAATCTGAGCCCTCCTACTGTGATAGAGAGAATGTAAAATGGTGCAATTGCTTTGAGAAACAGTTGGTCAGTTTCTCAATAAGCTAAATGTTGAGTTAACATATGACTCAACAATTCTATTTTCAGATATATTCCCAAAAGAAATGACTTATGTACACATGGAAACTTGTGTCCTCAACTTATATTTATACCAATATTATTCACAGTACCCAAAAGGTACAAACAATCTAAATGTTCATCAATAGATGAATGTATAAATAAAAGGTGGTATTCATACAATAAAATATTATTCAGCAATACAAAGGATGAAATATTGATATATCTATAACACAGGTGAACCTTGAAAATATGCTAAGATAAATAAGCCAGTCATTAAAGACCATGTAGTCCATGATTCCATTTATATGAACTGTTCAGAATAAGCAGATGTATAGAAAGAATGTAGATTTGTGGCTGCTGAGGGCTGGAGGGGGGATGGAGGGAACTGGGTGTGACTGATACAGAGTACAGTGTTTTCGGAATGATGAAAATCTTCTAAAGTAAATTGTAGTGGTGGTTACACAGCTCTGAATATAAAAAGACAAAGGAAAAATGATCCTAGCTGTGTGTTCTGAATTCATAGGATATAATTCAGCCCAAAGAACAACAAAACAATGTCACACTTTAAGGAGGTTTGAAGAAAATGGAGAAATGGAGCTTCTGACCTACAATGCCATACTTCTGGTATACTCTGTTATACAGTGTCATATATCTTATGAATTTTGTCTTCTAATTATTATTTCCTGTCTTAAAGATGAAGAACTGGAAGTTTATAGAAATTAAATAATAGTAGGTCACAAAATCATTAAGGGCTAACAGTAAATAATCAATTCTTTTTCATTCTAAAGCTCAAAATTTAATCTAATGTATGCATAGCCACTTGTTATTATTAATACCATAATTTGGATGATGCAGTTCTCCTAAAGACTCGAGTGTTAAAGGCTTGATCCCAAATGTAGCACTGACTCTTTAAGAGGTAGTAGAACCTTTAAGAAGTGAGACCTAGTTAGATGTCCTTAGGTCACTGGGGACATGCCCTTGAACAAGACTGTGGAATTTTGGCCCTTCTTCTTTCTCTTGTTTGCTTCCTTGTCATGAAGTGAGTGGCTTTGCTCTGCTATGCACTCCCACCATGATGTGTTTCTTTGCCACAGGCCCAATAGCGATAGGACCAATTGCTTGGAACCTTCAAATTTGTGAGCCAAAATAAACCTTTTCTCTTTGTAAGTTGATTATCTCAAGTGTTTTGTTATATTGACAGAAAACTGATGAACACAGTTACTTTTCCTCATTAAAAATTAGCAAATGTTAGGAAGCAAAATATGTAGAGACATTGTGTACTTTAATAAAACATATTTGGATTGAGAATATAAAGCTGATTATTTGGGGCAGGTTAAGATGGGGAAGGATTATTTTAGAGACATGAGGGAAGGATTTCCTAAAATTTTTGTGATATTTCAGGAAAGCCAAAAAAAAGCATAAGATAATGGCAAAAGGAAAGCAAGCTATATTAAAATGTCTGTAAGGCATTGAGTCAAGTTTCAGAGACTGATTATCTACCATGAGGTGAGAATCATTGCTAACATCAGTTCAGCTCTGATGGATTGGTAATATCTGCTTGTAATAACCTACTGAGGATTCTAGGATAGCGTGCAGAACACTCTGTGGTGAAAAATGTTATGACTGGTTAGTGAGGTCCGCTATAGTACTCAAGCGGAGAGGACAGCAGGAGAGGGACGAACTTGCTAACTTTCTTTTAAAGTTATACAAAACATACAAGAGCATTATGTTGAAGTTTGCTACTGTTTATCAGAAAAAAATATAAACTCCTACTTGATTTTACATTGATTATGTAATCACAGAGACAGCGCTACACAATTCCATTAATGCATTTGAGTTTTGAGAATCCACGTGGAGAATTTAAGATTCTTACCTGTGATTCATCCACGTCCACTTTAGCAAACACTACATTTTTGTATTTCAAAGACATTGCCTTCAAAATAAAAAAAAACAGTAAAATTTCTGTATTAGCTTACTGTTAATATTAAAATACTCAGTAGAATCTCTGCAAAACAAGACCTGGACAAAAAGTTTGTTAAAGACAGCTAATCATCATTCCAGCATTTCACTACTCCCTAGAACTTTAAGCACCAAATCAAATGTTAATTGATGCCAACGTCAAGCATGAATCAATGGCAGAACCAGAGTCAAGAGAACCAATTGAAGATTAATGCTTCAAAGTTGGAGGACACAAAACAAATAAATAATGAAATGTATGTGGTGAGTGCAGACTTACTCTGTGTGGTAGAGGAAAAGATGGTAGCCTTTTCCTGGAAAAAGGCTCAAGGGAGTCATTTTCAGTGACCTTCACAACCCAGTACTCAGCTGGGGGCGGGTGGTGGTAGAATGTCTTCATGGCATGAATAAGGTTCACTCCTTACCTTTACCTTTTCCTCTTCTCAGGTTTTTTTTTTTTTTTTTTTTTGAGGTGGTGATACTGATAATGGTAGAAGGCTATTCTGGTTGAGGTGATTATCAACATTTTCATGCTATCAGCCCGATGGCTTTCCACCCCATTGCTATCCTTCCGTGCTCTATTATATATTAGAATTAAATTTCCCGGACTCCTTTGCCAGCTGACTTCTAGTTACTTGCTGCCAATTAATCTATTTCTGAAGACAAATGGATAATTCCCAGTGGGAATCATGGATACTGATTTGACCTAGTGGACATCTAATTCCCAGGATCAGCCCTTGCACCAAATGGAAGGTGGAAGGAAGGCAAAAGCAAATCCCTTCTGCTTCTGTTTTGTTCTAGGAACATCTTTGGTGTTGGTAATAGGTCGGGGAGGCAGGTAGACAATGCAAAACCTGTAAGTGTCAGCATGGGCTTCTTTTCAGACATCTGTCCATATCTTAAGGACACTTGATAATATCTTGATTTGTTTGCTTCAGAATCGTCAAGCATTTCCAGTGACTTAGGTAATGAAGACTATAAACTCACTTTTAATTAAATGTCAAAGGTCGTGATTGGTTAAAATTAATTCAGATGGATAAAAGAGTTCAAGTAAAAAGTTAAAATGTTAGAAATTTCATTGAAAATAGAGCAGAGTATTTTCAATTGCATAGTAGAAAGATAAAAAATTCTTTACATTTGAAGAAGCAATACATTTCATAAAAGGATACTAGGCATGAAATTTTTGCACAATAAGGTGAAAAAAATACCTTGAGATTCTTTCTGTGGCTTATTTTACCAAAACTAAATAAAACAATGAAGTTTTAGAGTAGGGCAATAGAGAAATTAGATAAAATATTGTATAGACATTAACATTTTAATCTGGAGACTATAAAATATGAACTAATGTATAAGTAGAAGAAAGGTCTGAAGATAAGTGTACAATTACTAAGTAGAATATTTTACTAGTATGTGTTACAGTGTAGTTGTAGGACAAGAAAGAATATGCAGGACATGATTTGTCTACCATTTTCACCAACACAAATTGGTGTTTCATAAACTGGCCCCATAGAGGCTTCTAAGGGCCAAACTTTAAAAAATTACTTGGAAAACTGTTTTAGGGGCTTAACTTCTTTATACAGTGGTGAGATAGAAAGTGGTCATACTTACGTGAAAAATAGGAGCCATCAATTTGCAGGGACCACACCATTTTGCTGAAAATTCCACCACTACAAGTTTGTGCCCAGCAGCTTTCAAAAATGCTGTCAACTCATTCTGAAACAGAACAATGAAGAAATGTGTATAATCACTGAATCTCATAAAGGCTTGCAGAAAATAAAATGATAGGGTACATTTAAAAAAACTTTAACCAGGTGTCCTACCCCATTGTTCTGCAGCTGACCCAACCTTTCCTAAATGTGTCTGAAAGTCAGACATAGCTCTCTTTGCAAGTACACATAAAAGATGATAAAACCTAAAAAAATATGTCTACTCACCAAGTGGATTGGAGATGGAGGTTGATAATTGTGGCTAACTCTGGGTAGAAACAGATTTCTCAGGGAGAAATGAGAGTTGAAAAATGAAAGTGGTTCAGCATCAGGTTGTTTAATTGAGCTTGCTCTGTTTTCCTAATATGCGTATTCACTGCTATGAATATCCCTCGTAAGACTGCTTTCATTGTGTCCCATAGATTCCGATATATTGTATTGTCATTGTCATTTAATTGAAGGAACTGTCTGATTTCTTCTTTAATTTCCTCTGTGACCCATTGGT